TGAAGTACTCTACGCTCAGAAGATGTCATATTGGGTGAGTTCTTTTACACTTTCAAGAAACAGAAAATTCCTGTACACAATTTATTCTAAAGTACCCCCAAGCATGGAGCAATTCCCTATTATCAAACCCTCATCCCAGCATAGATAGTAAAAAATAAAAGCTATGGCTCCATTTCATCTCTTAATATAGATATAAAAATCCTAAACAAAATTCTAGAAAAATTAATTTGTAGAGCATTGCTAGCCTTATATACCAAATCAGGCATGAGAATAAAGTATTGCAAGGATTGTCTGAGGTTATAATTTGCATGTAACTTCATCCATCAAACAAATAAGGTAAGCTAAGTATAGCTTTACATCAGACAGGAAGTTTGTTAGCATCCCCTGAATTATTAAAAACAAAACTCGGACTAGTGAGATGGCTCAGCAGGTAGATACTTGTTGCCGAGCTGGATGACATAAGTTGATCCCCAGGACCCACTGGTGGAAGGAAGAAGAAAACTGACTCCCGCAAGTTGTCCTCTGAGCTCCAAAATTGTGATGTGGTGCCCACTCCAAAACACACACACAAGCACACACACACACACACACACACACACAAGAACACACAATAAATATAAATAAATGTAATAAAAAATTAAAGCAAAACTCTAATGAAGTTAGAACAGAAATAAAGTAGAATATTTTGGGTCAATACCCAACATCTTAGAACGTAGCAACCACAAACCCTCTCAATGGGCCCAGGTGAAATTCCTCTCTGTCACCAACCTCCTGTCTTAATAGCCTTAAGCAAGTTATTACTTCTAAGCTTAGCTGCTGATGTTATTGAAGCAAATAAATGAAACTGATTTCCTCATGATAGTATCTGATAACTGTATGCTCACTAAAGAAGAGTGCTTGGTGTTCTTGACACTTTCAGAGAGAAAACACTAGAGGCTCTCCTCATAGTTGGGAACTGTACAATGGATATACATGTGATTCCAGTGCCATAAAATTATTATGGAGGATCTAGCATCCCAAATACCAATTTACTCTTTCAATTAGCATCATGAAGTTATCAGTAAGTACCAGGCTCTACGATGGCAAGTGCGCTGTGAGACACTGTCACTGACCACAGGGCACTTAGGACAGGCAAGAAATCATTTTGAGGCACAGTAAGAATGTTGTCTGGGGAAGAGCAGGCTTGTGCCCTGTTCCTTGGCCAGCTGTTCTCAGTAGGCACCACAATTAGGCATTTGGGAAATTATGAAGACATTTTTTATTTTTAACTATGATTCCAATATTGGTCAAGAATGGAGTGGTCAAGGTCACCCCACTAGGTGGTCTGCAATGTGAGAGTGACTCACACAGGATTCTCCAAAGTCCTGTGTGATTTTCATTTCATTTTTTCACATAAAAAAATCTAGCCCAATTCTGCAAATTAAACCTTTGGAAAGTACTTTCGGGAAATTTTAAGATGCAATTATCTAAGATGACCAGTGGTGCATAAATGTACTTTTTATTCCTTCTAGAAACCCACCAAGAGTTGCTCACTGTTTCAGAGAAATCAGCCACCAACCCATATAGCCATGCTAGCCTGCACTTCTTCGGCAGGATTCATACAGATAGGATGCAAACACCTGCCTGTGCTTTATCTTCAACTGAAGCTTGTCCAGGCTTTTCACATACTGAATTAATATTATTTTTATGTTGCCTTAATTTTATTTCTCCATGATGTTACACTTACAACTTTATATCTTTAATATAATGTGTGTAGGAAGGTTATATTGATGAAGAGTATGGTGAAATGAAAAGATCTCAAAGTAGAAAACCACTTTGGGGGACTGGAGAGATGGCTCAGCAGTTAAAAACACTGGCTGCTTTTGCAGAGGACCCAGGTTCGATTCTCAGCATCCACACGGCAACTAACAACTGTCCATAACTCCAGTTCCAGGGGATTCACCGCCCTCTTCTGATCTCTGTGGGCATTGCACAACATGGGCACATTTACATACATACAATGCCCTCTGCAATGCAATACACTTACACACATAAAATAAATAAAAATAATAATAAAGAAAACCACTCCAAATGTATGCATGGGCTTATGCAATAATCAACAGAAGTGTCATTTAAGCTGAGACTTAGACAGAAGGAATGACTTGGAGCAAGGTCAGTGCATAGCAAGGGGAATATTGGTGGGTTATCTTGACATCCTTCCTCTCATCCATAACTAACAGAGGTGCAACAGTCTAGAAATATGTATCATGAGTACTTCAACTTTGATACTTTATCATTGGAACATTCTGGAAGAGATGTATATGGATCCAACTCTACATTCGCTCTACAATGACAAGAACTGAAACTATTCTAAAGGCCCAAGAAGGAATTATGAAGTAAGTTACAGCTTATCCCTATTGAGAGAATCTTTCACAGACATGAACCATCACTTGCCCCTGCACTGACTCAGAGTAAGTTACAGCTTATCCTTGAGAGAATCTTTCACAGACATGAACCATCACTTGCCCCTGCACTGACTCAGGCTCATACCAGTTCCTTTCTCTAAGCTCTGACAACATCGGGAACACATATTTCACACACTGAAGTAAAGTTATACTAAGTTTGTCTCTAATAACTGAACAGCAAATCTCAGAGGGAAGAGGAAATTTACCTTCAGTATCTAACAACAAGAAAAACTCTGTAAATAAGTATTTGACAAATTCCAGTTGGTTAATTTAAAGGTGCAGAATCTAAGGACTCAGCTTTTAATAGACCAGCAGACATCTGCTGCCCACGAAAGACTAAAACACGGGTGCATCACTGTCCTGCTCTCTGATCTCCAGGGTTCCATTTTCTTTTCTAAGATTATTGTCTCTCTTTTCTATTTGGTCCATTAGAAGATGGCACGAAGGAAGAAAACAGCCCAACAGCATAAAGTGGGACAGTCCCCTGGGCCCTGATTAATGAAACTCGAGGACTTCGGCAGAGGGACAGCAGCTGCAGTGCAAATGTTGTAAGAGGAACTTATAGAGCTCAAGGGCCCTAAACCTAGAAGGTCCAATTGATTTTGGCTGTGTTTCTCTCTTTGTGGAAATGAAACCTTATTAATTCTGAAAGCCTGTATTCTCCCTGGATCCCAGGCACAGCAGTACTTTAACCACAACATTTTTAAAAGAGACTCTAAAATAAAATTTATCAAATGCCCCACAGTAACCCCAAATACTTTTGCACTTAATATCCTATGACTTTTTAATTTATACTTTCATCCCAAACAAAAATCTCTTTCCTTTGTGCTTGGGAATTAGACTAGACTGTATCATATTTCATAATTATTCACTTCCTTTTGGTAAGAGGATTGAATATCTGTTCTCTGCCAAGTGGCTTGTCATACCTCCCTGTGGAGTACTGACACTTATCCTTCCCACTGAGTGAGCTTTGCCACAAG